GCCATGCCTATTAACAATTCAGTCACTCCATCAATTAATCAATGCTTTCTATCTGCTCTTGGCTCAATATTGAGCTAGGAGCTGTAGAAAATAGAGAAGAAAGAAAAGACATGTCTCTATTTTTAAGGGCCTTATAATCTACTGAACTAGATAAGATAGATACACATGAAACACAGAAGAATGTAAGACTTCACATGAAACAGACAAGAATATAAGACTTCTGGTAAATCATGTGGTTTTAGACTGCTAAATACAAATGTAGAATAGGGTAGTTAAAATCGAACTATGATAAGTCGTTGAAGGATGTGGAAGAAATAGATAAGCTGAGAACAAAGAGGGAAGTATTACAAGTCAATATATATAATGTAGAATATATATTGTAGAAGTTTGGCAGTGAAAGGAAGGAGGAAGATAGGAGAGCACCTAGAAAGGGCATCAGGGTTAATTAAAAACTGTCTTTCTCCTCCATGCAGAAGGGAGGGTTATGCTGGTATAATCAGTTGAAGAAAACCACGTCTCTGGGCATGGGATGATTGTGCCTCTGACTTCTCCACAAAAATCTAGGAGCTTTATTAACATCAACTTTGTTCAAATAAAAGTCAGCAGTGAATAAGCTCAAGTTCTGAAATTCAGACTGCTAAATGTGTCCACCCAAGCACTAAAATACGGGCTGGTGGTACCACCTTCCCAGATCTTATAGATTACTCATACTAAGAGCCACTGTGACCTAAGTATGCTGTCACATGACAGCCAGCAAAGTGGCCTCTGCAGATTTGTAAATCTACCTACAGATTTGTAATTTAACCATATCTACCTCTCATTAATTCATCGCTGCCCTTCCTTCCTCTGGCAGCTCTAATATCTCTTCATGTAATCCTTGCTAAAATAATGTACCAGGTTTTCTCTCCATGTGCTTTTTCCTACTTGACTTTTCTTTTAGGCCCTAAACATAGAATTTTCTTAAGCTTTTCTCTTCCATCCATATTCAAACCGCTTGGTGGTAATTCTCTATTCTATTGTCACAAACTATGATTTCCTTTTCCTTCAAAATATAATCTAAATCCTTAAACACGAGGACAATAAATACAGTACAACATTGCTCTTATTAAGAAGTAAGTGGGGGGACTTTCCTGGTCGTGCAGTGGTTAAGAATCCGCCTGCCAATGCAGGGGTCATGGGTTCGATCCCTGGTCCAGAAAGATCCCACATGCTGTGGAGCAACTAAGCCTGTGTGCCACAACTACTGAGCCCGTGTACCACAACTACTAAACCTCGCGCACCCTAGAGCCCATGCACCACAACTACTGAAGCCCACATGCTCTAGGACCCACATGCTGCAACTACTGAAGCCCGCGTGCCTAGAGCCCATGCTCCGCAACAAGAGAAGCCACCACAATGAGAAGTCCATGCACCGCAAAGAAGAGTAGCCCCCTGCTCTCCAGAACTAGAGAAAGCCCATGCACAGGAACGAAGACCCAATGCAGCCAAAAGAGAAGAAAAAGAACTAAGTGGGAAAAATTAACCACCTATCTTCCTGGGAGAACTCTTACCTTTTGGCCATATCCTCTTGAACCTTAGCTATTTCTTTTATCATTTCATTTTGTAAGGGTAATGTCTTTATCCCTAAAGAGAAAAATCAAAATTTTAAGTGTAAAATTACCTCAGTATGAACACTAACCCTATTAACAATTACCATGCTATGAAAAATTCAAAGGAATACAGGCTAGTTGTCTGTACCAAGGAGGTTACACCTTCACTTGATCACCTTACCCTACCACCACCAGAATATAATAATATTAACCTCAGTAGTTTACTCTTTTCTGCTCTGTCTTTGGAAGATATTTCTCCTAATCTGCTTTCCAACCAAAAGCTGCCTCCTCCCTAACATAGTCTTTCAATTGGGAAATGAAATCTGGACATGAGGAAATGATAAATAGCCTTAAATGTGTACGGAAAATGAGGTACAAAGTAAAAGGAGGGGGGAGGATTGGAAACACACCTGTACTTGTTCTCTTAATAACAAAGAGGCTTTATACCACAGGGTGAAAGAAGTAAAAGTAAACTCTCAGTCCTATTTTATGCCTAAAGTTCCATGGAAGATAAGCCTTACTTTCTAAATTTTTTATTTGGCAAGAGTGAGGGGGAAGGTCAAAGGCAACTCATAATACTCAATCTTAACAAGTAAATTTAAGCACTAATGCACAAACAGTTCCAGTAGCAGGAATTTAACACCAAGGACATGGCTAGACAAAGGTAGAATAGTAGTTAAGTTGACATAGACAACTCTCAATTTAAATGGTTAGCTTTATGCCCGGATTTACAATCACTATGCCATGTAGAAAACTTTAGCCACACCCAACTCTAAAGTGTTACTCCACAAAATTCTGGAACGTGTAATTTTAGAATGGGAATACATCTTACCTAATACAATCCTCTCTACAAGTACTCTCAAGTGGTTATCTCATTCCTCCTTAAATATCTCTGGTGTTGGGGATCTCATCACCTGAGGAGATGATTTAATTGTTTG